CCAATAAATTGCAAAATTATCGAAAGTTTCGTCGTTATGGCAGTCGGAGATCCTCTCCTGAAGGCTTCTTTAAAAGTTGTTAATGCATGAATATTGACAAAATTGAGAGTTAATGAGGAGAATGTTGCAAATTAGTTCTTAACTGATCGAACAAATAAAAGCCGAACCGATCAGAGGGCCGCATTTCCAGGGCACGACGATATGCTCTATTTGGCGGAAAGGTGGCTTCATTTGTTGTCATTCTGTGGTTAATACTAAAGGTGTTCTCCTGACGCGAATTTATAGCCGCATATATAGCAGCCGTACATTTGCACATCCCAAGTAGTGAAGAAGCAAATGAAGGAGGGGTTAGGCGAATTCGCGTGAAAGGAAAAAAGCCCAACCCTTTGATTGACAACTTTGTGTAGTTGAGGAAAAGTCCCAAAATATTTTGGGGTTGTTTACTGCCACTGTGGAGGTGGTGTTCTGGAAGCGAGTAGTTTTCCGTGGAATAAAGGCAAAATAAGTGTTGGAGGAAGTGCAGCTTTGTCCATACGATTTGTCGCCTAAAAATATTAAATGATGGCTTACTTTTGTGCATTGATTATAGCGGATTCGGGGAGATTCTTGGCAGTTGAATGATCCTTCACCCTGATTTCAGGCAAATAGCCTTAAGTTTACAGGGGTAGAGAGAAGACGCAGATAGGGAACGAATGCCCACATGCTGATGGGACAGTAATCAAGACTTTGCCCTCCATGGCGGATGCTAAATCTTACTACCGTGTGAGCATATTACGTTGCGGAGGAGAGCGCATGAACATGCAAATGCTCAATTACATTAGTCACATCTGAAGGGTTATATACTTTGGGGAAAAATAAAGTGATTCTATCTCCCTTCCATCTGGCTGAATACCCTGTTATGTATCGGCAGTGATGTTTGCCATTGGCAACGGAATTAATGGGCTGCCAATCAGTCCAACCAAGAAATGAAACTAGGGCAAAAGAGTACTTTTCAATGTAGTCAACAGGTATTTTTGTGTGTACAATTATGTGATCAAAATATTTGCTCATTCTCTAGTGCTCTGATTGGCTGCCGGTGATTATTAACCAAATACTTATTAACCACTCAGAGAAAAGTCAGCCCAATCGTTAACTACCAATAGCTATGCGGAGGTTCCTCAACACCTTTTTCACCATAAAACCAATGCTGAGCAGCGTAATGAAGACGACTGAACAGCTCCCAGCCGTGCTGTTGGTTTAGCCATTAGGCATGTAGCCTCCCTCAGCAACACTAGTACATAAATCTTAAAAACCTAACTTCATTACTGTCACCTTCGATTCCACATATCCTTTCTCCTCCTTAGGTAGTACTACATTTCAAGCTGACATTTGCCACTCTCTTCTATCACTGCTCACCCAATAAATCATGTCCGCACGAAGGAACATCTCCATATCTACCACCCACAATTGCTTTTAAAGGGTAGGTGGATGAGAGTGCGAAGTCAAATACTACCCAGACACTTGTATACAATAAGCGAATAGCTAATGAGAGGCATGGAAAGAGTAGCTTTGAGTTGGTGTGGTATCAAGTGATGTTCCCACAGGGAAAAATAGCTACCTAACTCATGGAATCGCCCATTTCAGGGGAGTAGATCTGCTTAAATCTACTTTGTTCCATACCATGCTGATATTAAGCTCCACGAAATCGAAAATATCAAACCGAAACAGTCCTTGGAAATGGTGTATAATGAGATCATTTACCTTTGGGACGATTAAAATCATACAAAAGGCAGAGCTAGTTGCGATGAAAGGCTTCCGCGATGATTTTGGATGCATGACGGTAGTCACTCCCTTTTGCTACGTCTTATTTTACTCGCTTAAGAAATTTTGTTAGCCTAGATGACCTGTGTTTGAATTAATCACGAAGCACAGGTAACGCAAGCGATATATAACCTACCAGTAGTAATGTTAGTTTTCTCTTTCATCTTCCTTTGACTTCGTGAAGCACTATGGCTGTTGTTAAGTCATTCTGACATCTAGATTTGTCGCGTGTGTACTGAAGTGGGGAAAGTGATGATGAAGCTGGGCTAGGCAAATCGTACAAAAGGAAGAGGAACACTAGAATGCAAAGGTATTTAGAACTGTAAAGTAAAGGATGACTTCAAAGAGTTATACAGTTGCTGGAGCAGAAATCGGAAAGAAAGAGAAGGGAATGAATAACTTCGGCGTTGGCGTGGAACTTATCGGAGCCTTGGTAGACAACACATCCACTTTCAAAGACGACTTTGGAGATGGTGGGGGCATAAATGCGTTTTCGTAGTGCTATTTCTGGTTTGTGTTGAGTCAGTTTCCCCTTCTTCGCAACGGTGCGATTCGTGAAATACCTGTGGAAGGTTGGAGCACTTACGTGAGTCTGAAGTGCACAATTCGCAGACCAGGTTAATTTTTATGTTTTTATTAACAAATGGCTGCTGCTCTGTAGAGCGTGTTTTAATGACCTTATCAGTGACTAATTGTTAGGATATTTCCCGGACCGCATATTACTTAAATTTTATTAGCCCCTTTATTTTAAGTGTGCAGGTGAAAAGACTACCTGTCTTGTTTCATAGAAAAATATTTAAAATTCCTTCTTTTTCTTCCCTTCAAGAACACATCTACCAGATAACAAGGCAATTTTTAAAAACGAACTTTGGTGTGTGCTCTTGATAAACAGATCCACAGGAAAATGCGAAGTGGGTACCACTTTCCAACATGATAGCCCAATTAACTATTTGCGTATTTAACCCAAGCCAAACGAAGATGTTAAAACCACGTGCTAGGCATGTACGATACATTATTCAAAGCAAAGATTATTATTTGAAAATTATAAAACGCCATGGACTTTCGCTTCATGACAAAATTTCAGCGCTAAGTTGTGATTCAAAATGCGTTGAGTTGACTTGCAATCTTGCAGCAATGTTCGTTGATAGACACAGTCTTCTCGGATCATTCGCTCCGGGGTACTTTCCCGAGTAGCGCCGCCACACTCCCAAGCGCCGTACATGTTGATAAAGAATGAACGCTCTTTTACACTGGGGAAGCCACTTAATACCTCAGAAGATGCTCTAGTTACACTAATACCATCAGACACTCTGAAGCCAACGGTCCTCAAACAATTAGCTGTCCCTCCGCCACACTTGAGGAATGGTTGCAGACATTCAAACCCTTTGTCAATACGAAAGAACGAGGAGGGTACTACTATTGGGAAATGGTAACTCTTGTTCGAAAATCACCGTTTGTCTTTCAAATGCGTTAAAAGATGATGAATCTGTATAGCCAATGACAAAACGTCGATACTGCTGACGACGCATGAGTTAAAACAAACTGTGAATATTTTTGCGGAAATTATTGTTATTTGGAATCAAATTACTTGATTTTTTGCATACTATTCTACTGCGAGCAGAAATGCTTAGCTCTCACAATTCTAGGCACAAAATATTAAATCCACTGCAAAGAAATGCTTACATTAAAGCTCCCTGTTCTGGTATAGTTGGGTAGGCTAAACTGAGCCAACTGATTCACGACATTACTTTCTCCTTACTCCACTTTGAAGAAAACTGAGGTTATGGCATATATCAGATTAGTTTGAATCTAAATAGGTCAGGTTGAGCAAAGGTCCACCAAATTTGTACTTATTCATTCATTTCCTACAAATGTTGGATTTCAACTAAAAGATATTTCATTTGTTTGAAAAGAAAGCGTGGTAGTACAGTCACCGCAGACTGTCTGATGTGGCAGATTGATTTTGTAAATAGTGAACCTTGCTGCCTACAACCTATGCAAGAGCAGAAAATTGACTGTGAACACTGCCAAAAACCTGCTAGCTTGTGTTGCTTTAAGATTATTGCCAACTGCGCATCTCTTCATCAGTCCACTAGAGCGATTGGTGCTCCAGTATTTAGCTTTCTTTTGACGACACAGTACTCCCGACAGATTTCATATTTATTAAGGAGATTAAGCACTAACCGGTTGAAACATGAACCCCACGAATTACTGAAAAGGTCCCTAGTGCGATGCGCGGTGCTATAGTGCCGAGTTGCCTCACCAGATGAAGTAGCGAACCCAATCAAAATAAAATAAAATGGCCCTTTTGAGGATCTGACATTGTCCTCCTTTTTGACAACAGTGATCAAAAAACTCATTGCAGCAACAAACATCCATAGGAAGACTACTGACCTAAAAGCAGACGTCTGGTGATGTACTACCTACCTTATCGAGGCATACTAGCTTGGTCAATTTAACTAGTGTTCTAAACTTGTTAGCCAGCCGTTTGGATTTGGCAGGCCGTGCTGAGGCATCTATGGCGTCACTTTCGACAATTTTGCAATTTATTGG